CTCCACCTCTTCGGCTTCATTGGCAGCTTCAGCAGTTGTGGCAGCGGGGACCTCGGTGGGATATTCCTTGTAGGACTCCACTGTGACATCGATCCCGCCGATGGTTTCTTCGGTAAGCACAGTCTCCCGCTCCTCCTCTGGTCCAGCAGCAGTAGGCTCCACCGCTCCCCGCTGGTTAATGGGTGCGGTTTTCCTTGCATGTTCCAGCAGCAGTTGGTTCACCTGCCCCCTGCTGGTTCAAGGGAACAGGTTCATCGCCAAGCAGACTAGGCACTGTGGGTGACACCTCTACCATCGCTGCCCTTACTGGCGAAGGTCTCTCGAGTTGAGCAGTGGGTTCTCTGATGACGATCCCCTTCCGTAGTCTGGAAAGAGGGATCGTGTCCTCGCTTACTTCTATATCCACCGCTTTCCCCTTCCCTTTCTCCTGCCTTGTCGCTTGCCGAGGGGGTGTTGGATTTTTTCGGAGTGCTTCCTTGACCCTCGGCTTCTTGACAGGCACTGGAGCAGAGTCTTCCTTCTTCTTTGATCTCTTCTCGCCAGCGGCTGCCTTTGGCGCTTTTCCTCTCTTATCACTCCTGGCCTCTTCTGCCCCAAAAAGATCCTTCTCTATCTCCCGAGCGAAGTGGAGGGTTTCCTCCTCCTCATCGCTGGGAGTTTCATTGGAGATTGTCCTCCCAGAATCGGGCTCAGTCTGAGGTGTCACCTTCTCTCTTACTATTCCCCCCCCCCCCCACAACCTTCATTTTTCTTTTTGGTGGAGGGGGCGCTGCCGCTTGTGCTTTCCTCTTTCTCTGCTTGGAGATAAGAGTGAACCCCTTGGACTCCAGCCAGTTTTTGTGGAAGGCCGCTGGGAACAGCCGCTTCATTTGAAGTTCTGAGGCTGGAGTGGGCAGATCGACGCCCGCGCATCGGCATAGCTCTGTGATTAAGGTTCCGTGACCAAGTGTTCTATCTCCATTTCTTCTATCCCAAATGTCTATACCGGTGATTGCGCCCAAATCCACGTTAGCAGTCTTCTTCATAATCGAGCGAAGGGCAAGGAGGAAGTCAGGACGGATGTCAGTGGTGTGTGTGGTGATCATTACTCTGCTCAGCGACCACTTCACCCATTCCTTTTTCTCTTCGTCCACCGACCCAAACTTTAAGTTCCTCTTTTCGTATGCAGGGGTGGTGGCGAAAGTCCTGTAAAGTGTCTGCAGCTCAAGCGAGCTGCAGATCTCCGTTGCCCTTAGTTTGTCCCTCATCTCCTGGGTGGGGTAGTGGTGTTCCCAACCCAGAAGTCGGTTGATCTTCCTAGCTGAGCAGTCTACCAATCTTCCTTGAATGTATACATTCTTTAGACTCTCAGCCTGGTTCAGATTTGCATAAAATTCCCTCACCAGCGATACATCCACTGGATCACTGGGATTTTCAATCAACCATAGCAGACCTCGCTCCTCTAGCCAGTCAGCGAGCGGGCCTGTAATCTTCTCGGGGTCAAATCCTCTCCCATAAAGGATCTCCATTGCCTTCATCTTTTCATAAGCCGCAGCTGCCTCAATGTTGACGAAGTGGAGGCTATAAAATTGTTTGGACTTCAACATATCCTTGGCAGCATCGGCCGCATTCTTCTTGGAGGTGTTGCCTCTGAACGGCTTCATTCTCGTTGGCGGCTCTTTGTGGTAGGAAAATTTGTCCTTCAGCTGCTTTAGCTGGTACTTCTTCAGCTCTTCGTAGTCCAACCACCAATCGCTCACTGGATACCTCTGGTCTGTTTCCTCAGTATACTCAAATCTAAGGTAATCTTCTGGGAACTCTGGAATGAATTTTCTGAAGGCCAGTGACTTAAGCTGTCTGAGCTTCCCCCAGTCCTCTGTCAGCTCTAACACCCTCCTCATCCGATAGTATGCCTCAGGCGGCGTTGGTTTCACAAATTTAGCCCCTGAGGTAGTTGTCACCACCTTTCGTCCATCCATGGATTTGATCCTTTGGACTCTCTTCTCAACCTTCTCGAACTCCTTCCTTAACGCTTCTTGCTTGGTTGGATCTATTTTGTCAAGCGTATCCTGAACCTAGGGTTTCCAGAGTTATTGTTTAACATAAGAAATTTATGAATCCTACCTTACTACTTTAAAATGCTAACAACATTTATGTATAGGCAATCATTTCCACAATCTCAATGATTTTAACCCTAGTTCCTCCCCCTCACAACAAACAGAGCACTACTGTGAGTGTTACGTTGTGAAAAAGGGAAAAATCACAGAACAACATATGACATACATATTATTGGAAAATTGATCCACACGAAGCAAGTACATCAGTTATTGTATCTAAATCTAACAGATAATAGACCTAGATTCACAGAAATCAAACATATAAACATTTCCGCAAAAATGAAGAACAGTCAGTTATCGCGAAAATAATTTGTGATTCTGTGTTATTGAATGTTAAATCAGGGAAAATCAACCATGAAATCGAGTCTATGGACTAATTTTAACCTAGATCTTACCTTAGATGAAATTATTGTTGGTTGAATAGTCGAGATTTTGAAAATTTTGGGTGTGGAGAAGTGGCGGTTACTGAAGCTTCTTGAGGAAGTTACTGGACAAAAGTGAAAAATGACTGTTGATTGGGGTATTTATAGATTTCTTTTATCGCTCGTCTGGAGGGCAAGTGGAGCCCTGCCTAGTCCAATATATCTACTTATAAAGGTATAAGGGTGGGTTTTCAGGGCGGACGAGCGGGTAAAGCAACACTTCTATTTACCTAAGGGTGACACTCAAGTGGTGATGGAAGCGGTACTGGGTGAGCGATACTGCTCCCCCAGTGAGTATCAGGGTGAAACAAACAAAGCGATGGCAGGCTTGGTCAGGCTCAGGTTAAAAGTTAAAATTCTAACATTTAACTACTCCTAGAAAACGATAATCCTAACTATTTAAAGCGATAACACTACTCTAATCAAGGGGATAAGTAAAAACTATAAATCTAAACTACGAAAGCGGGAAGAATTAAAAAAATCTATCTATGAAAGCGATAAGAGGAAGCTGTAAAGTTAACTAGGAAAACGGTAAATACTAACTAAGAAAGCGATAAAAGAAAGCTGTAAAGTTGGCGGATATAAGATTAGGCTTCTGGATTTTCTTCTTGAAATTCTATCATCGAACGAGATTCTGAACCTCCACCAGATTAATATCTGCATTGGCTTGCTGCAGTATAGGCCCTTCGATATAGGGTTTCAGTCTCGCTCCATTGACCAGGAAGGAATCGCGTTCTCTAGGATTGTCCACATTGCTTATTCTTATAGCTCAACTTGGCAGCACTTGTTTAACTATATACAACCCAGTCTACTGTGATTTCAATTTTGCCTGGGAACAAGTGGGGTCTAGTGTCATATAAAAGCACTTTGGATCCTTCGACGAATTCTTTCTTCTTCAACTTCCTGTCATGATAGAACTTCATCATTTCCTTATCGAGTTTTGCGCTCTCATATGAAAGATACCAGAACTCAGTCAGATCGAGCAATCTTTTAGCGCGCTTCTTCTGCGCAGGGAGAAGATCAAAATTGAGATACTTGATGGCCCAATACGCGCGATGCTCGAGTTCCAGAGGTAAATGGCAAGCTTTTCCATACACAAGCCGGTATAGGGACATTCCTATTGGAGTCTTGAAGGTTGTTTTGTATGCCCACAGCGCATCGTCCAATTTCTCTGCCCAATTCTTGCGACTTTTATTTACTGTGGTCTGGAGGATGTGTTTGATTTCTTGATTTGAAACTTCCACCTGACCGCTCGCTTGTGGGTGATAGGGGGTAGTTAGATGTTGACGAACACCATATTGTTGAAGGCAAGATTGCAGCGCCTTATTAACAAAATGGGTGCCTTCATCGCTTATTATCATTTTGGGAACCCCGAACCATGGGAATATAGTATATTTCAGGAAGCGGATCACTGATTGAGCATCATTAGTTGAGAGCGCCTGCGCTTCAACCCACTTGCTCACGTAATCCACCACCACCAGAATGTATAATTTCCCATTAGAATTTGGAAAGGGGCCTATAAAGTCTATCCCCCATACATCAAATATATCCACAAACAAGACTCCAGTTTAGGGCATCTCATCCCTCTTCGAAATAGATCCCAATCTTTGGCACTTGTCGCAAGATTTGGCAAAGGCATCTGCATCTTTCTGTAGGGTAGGCCAAAAGAAACCCGACTGCAAAACTTTGGCCGCTGTGCGCAGGCTAGCGAAATGCCCTCCTACATGGGACCCATGACATTTGTTTAAGATCAGCGGGATTTTAGATTCCGCTACACAGCGGCGGATAATCCCATCTGAGCTGATGTTAAACAAATAAGGTTCATCCCAAAAATAATCCTTTGCCAAACTGAGCAATCTCTTCTTTTCCCGTTGTACAGTATGTGCTGGAAACTGTGTTGTAGTTAAAAAATTTGCCAAGTCAGCAAACCATGGCTCCTTCGCTTGCACCAGGAACAACTTCTCATCTGGGAATTGTTCATTGATTCCAGGAGATATGTCCTCTTCTTGGCTTAGCCTACTGAGGTGATCGGCCACATGATTTTCTTTTCCCTTATTATCCTTGATCTCTATATCAAATTCTTGGAGCAACAGAACCCATCTAATCAAGCGGGCCTTCATCTCCTTCTTCTCCATCAAATATTTGATAGTACGGTCAGTGTGAACAATGGTCTTACTTCCGATAAGATACTGTCTGAACTTCTTGAAAGCGAAGACAATGGCTAGCAGCTCCTTCTCGGTTATAGTGTAATTCTTCTGAGCGGAATCCAATGATTTACTTGCATAGTAGATAACGTTCAACTTGGATTCCACCCTTTGTCCTAATACAGCGCCGACGCTATAATCACTTGCATCCGTCATCAGCTCGAATGGCTCGCTCCACACTGGTGCTGAAATTATAGGAGGGGAGGTAAGCTTTCCCTTCAAAACTCGGAAGGCCTTCTCACACTCGCTTGACCAGTGAAAGTGAGAGTCTTTGCACATCATTGATGTGAGCGGTTGCGTGATTTGACTGAAGCCCTTGATGAAACTGCAGTAAAACCTATAACCGGGGGCGCTCCTTTCTCATTCGGGGGCGCTGGCATCTTTTTGATTACACTAACCTTCGATCTATCTACCTCAATAACGGCAGATGAGATCTTATGACCCAAGAAAATTCTTTCATTTACCATGAGGTGACACTTCTCCCAGTTCAGCACAACATCAGTCTCAATGCAACGGAGAAGCACTTTTTCCAGATTATTCAGGCATCTGGAAAATGTCTTGCCATAAACCGAGAAGTCATCCATGAATACTTCTGTGCAGAAGTCCAGGAGATCACTGAAAATATGGTACATACACCACTGGAAGGTGGCCGGGGCGTTGTAGAGCCCGAACGGCATCCTCCTGTAAGCAAACGTCCTATATGGACAAGTGAATGTAGTCTTCTCACAGTCCTCCGGTTTGATGGAAATTTGGTGGTAGCCTGAGTAGCCATCGAGGAAATAGTAGTATTCGTGTCCTGCGAGCTTCTCAAGGCATTGATCAAGGAAGGGAAGCGGGAAATGATCCTTCTTCGTGGCTGAGTTCAATTTCCTGTAGTCGATGCAGACCCTCCATCCAGTGACAGGTCTTGTCATGAAGACCTCCCCCTCGTCGCTCGTTTGTTCAACGAAACCTCCTTTCTTGAGAACCACCTAGGTTGGGCTGACCCATTGGCTATCACTGATAGGGTATATGATCCCTGCATCGAATAGCTTGATCACCTCTTTTTTTACCACTTCTTGCATATTTTCATTTAATCGCCGCTGAGGCTGTCTGCATGGCTTAGTGATGTCTGTGATCTTCCATGCAAACGCCGCTTTTCTTCTTTTGAGAAGTGAGACGAGCTGAGCCTCTTGGTCCGGAAACAGTGAGGCAGAGATTATCAGCGGATAACTCTCCTCCGGCCCAAGGAATATGTATTTGAGGTGCTCATGTAATTTCTTCAGCTTGTCCTTTATGTTGGTGTCGCTTGCTGGTTCCCTCGTGGCTCGTTCAATGGATTAAGTGGGCGCTGGCGTCTCATCGCTTGCCTCACATGAGTCCTCTTCATCTTCCAGCTCAAGGGACCCATTATCTGAAATTCCTTCCAGATTTTCAAGTGTTATATAGCTCTCAAAAGTTGATAATTCATTTAACGCATTGATAAAATCACAATTTTCTTCCCGAGGTTGATGTAGTGCTTGGTTCATTGAAAATGTGACTTTATCACCATTGAAGCTCAATGAAATTTTGCCTTGGGCGACGTTTATAGTAGCTTGAGCGGTGGCCAGGAAAGGTCTCCCTAATATGATTGGAATTTTGCGATCTTCGCTCATTTTCATAATGATGAAATCTGCAGGGAAAATAAATTTGTTCACTTGCACGAGTACATCACGAATAATTCCTTTAGGAAGTCTTATTGATTTATCGGCAAGCTGAATTACAGTTCTGCATGCTTCTAATTCATAAAGCCCTAATTTAGAGAAAAACGAGAAAAGCATAAGATTGATACTTGCTCCTAGATCACATAATGCCCTAATCGGCTCTAAATTTCCTATTGTACAAATAATAATAAAACTCCCAAGATCACTGAGTTTCTTTGGGAGGTCCTCCTTAAATACGGCGCTGCACACACTCTCCAGTTGCACCGCTGCCGCTTCATCAGGGAATGCCCGCTTTCGATTGATTATATCTTTGATAAACTTAGCGTAATGTGGCATATGTGACAAAGCATCAGCAAACGGTATAGTAATTGAAGACTATGGAAAGTATGTACAAACTTATCAAATTCCCTGGAATTGTCCTTCTTCCCCAATCGTGTAGGAAAGGGGGCTCGAGCCAAAGGCTGAGCGGGACCCTTTTTTCTTCGGTTCAGGCACCCGAGCGGTTGGTATCGCTCGTTGTTGGGATGGACCCTCTTCCTCAGTTGGAATTTGTATAATTTTATCCTGCACAGGCACGTTAGCAACAATAGGGGTAGGAGAATTATTAGTACCTCTGTCTAGCAGTGGTGGTGATTGTGTCCGCTTCCCACCCCTTATTTCGATGGCCTTCGCTTGGTTCGAGACTGTCTGGACTGTCCGAGGCAACGTTCCTTTTTTCTTCAGCTTCATAGCTTCAGCTATCTGCCCAACTTGAATTTCCAGCATTTTGATTGAAGCAAATGTATTTATTTGGAACACCTGATTTACTCGCTCTGTGTTCCTCCAGAATTCCTCCAGACTCAGCGGTGCTTGGGCTGCTGTGGGAGGTTGGGCAAATGCAGGTGCCTGTTGCGGAAAGTGGAGGGCTTGATAATATTGTTGTGGATGTGGATAAAATCCCCCTTGATGATATTGTTGCGCAGCGAACTGTTGTGGCCTTTGAAATTGTTGCTGAGGACACGGTCCAGCGGGGCCTTGAGCCTGCCCCTTTTGGAACTGCTGGAATTAAGGGGCATTCGTGCCAGCCATATAATAGACCTCCGCTGGGTTCTGAGCCTCTTCAGTGGAGCACTCAGCAACCTGCGGACATTGTTGGTCTGCAAAGGCATTCTCCTCAATTTCTGCAGCCTTCTGCAACGCCTGTTTCCCTTTGTTACGCAGGTCCTGCTTCATGAGCTTAGACAGCTCCTTGACTTGGATAGACAGACTGACTATCCGTGCATCATGGGAGACCAAAGCAGGAACCTGGTATAGACCCCTCGATGGCTCGGGCCTGTTGGACTCTGGCCAACTTGTCTGATTGGCCGCCATCTTTTCAATCAAAGCCCTCGCTTCTGAGGCACAACGCTCCATCAACGAGCTTCCTGCCGCTGCATCAAGCGACATCCTCAGTTCATAAGTGATTCCTGAGTAGAAAATTTGAAGCTCCATGAAGTCCAAAATTTCATGATGAGGGCAGTTGCGGAGCAATTGTTTGTATCAACTCCAGGCTTTGGGAAGGGTCTCGTCATTCGCCATCTGGAAAGTTAGTATTTCATTCCTCTAGCGAATGGTCTTTGATACAGGATGGTATTTACTCACGAAGGCCTGCGCTGCTTCCTTGAAAGAGACAGGAATGGGATAAAGATTATCAAATTATTTCCTGGCTTCTCCTAATAAAGAAAATGGAAACAGAATAAGTTTTGCAGCGTCCTCCGTGATGCCGTGAGATTTGGAGGTGGCAGCGATCCTATTGAAGTTCTGCAGATGCTCGTATGGGCTTTCGTTGAGCAGCCCATGAAATTGGCTCTGGCTCGCCAAGCTGACGAGGGTTGGTTTCACCTCATAATGGCCAGAGCCTCTGGGCACAGAACTAGTAATTAAGGTATTATCCAGAAGGGATTGGTAATGAACGTCCATGGGGACTTCAGCAAACGGGCGCTCAGTAGTCCTGTGTCCCTCAGCCCTCTGGTTAGGCTCAGCAATAGGTGGTGGGGGAGTGATGGTAGCGGGAATTGCAGCAGTGTTGGCAGCTTGAGCCGCTTGGGAAGCGATAAATGCCCCCTACGTGGCTTGGGCCTTCTCCACCTGAGCGAGCTGCGCTTGCAGCCCCGCCATTCCCTGTTGGATGCTACTGAGGGCTCTCATGAGCTGCTCCTCAATCGGTGTCAGCGCATAGGGAATGACGGTAGGGACCACAGTGGGGATATAGAGCAACACCTCTTGCAAATATGCAGATGTGACAGAATTTGATGAGGTCCCAGCGGCAGTCTGGAAAACTGGGACAACAGTAGAAGGAGCGGTGGCATTTCCTTGGTTCGTTATAAGTTTTTCTCGCACTTGCTCTCTAAACAGACATCTCTGTGATCGAGCGGAAGGAGTAGGACTTGTGGGATGCTGAAAACGCTTCAGACCCCTACACAATGATAGCCACACCAAAGTAAAAGTTAGAAAAATTAATAAAACACAAAAATGTGATTACAACAAATTAAGAGTAAATTATGGCGCTTCAAAAGATCATCAACCAGGATACTTTTCATGAGGTTCAAATCCCCGGAAACGGCGCCAAATTATGATAACTAGTATTTGTTAGTTTTAATTTGTACAAATCCACAGGGAATTTATATATGAAAATTAGTGAGTGATGTATATAGAAAAGCGATCAGATATAGTAGATTTTGTGGTCGTAGACCTATCACAATTATTTATACTCTTTTTACTGGTGAGTTTGCAGGTCGAACACAAGGATTTTAAGTTATGAATTTCAAATGGTGAAGATCTTGAAAAAGCGATGAGAATTGCAGAAAAGCATCCGCTTGCAGCGGATCAAAACTTCTAGTCTATTTGAGAGTGGTAAATAAGCGGTAAAAGAGGTGAGTGGAAGCGAACGAAGCGAAGGCGTAATGTGAAGTGCCAACGGTAGCCAGATGATCGGCACATGAGCGAAAGCGGGGACCGAGTGAACGGGACATGGATGAATGACGGTTACCGAGTGAATGGGACATGTGCGGGTGGCACATTATGATATATATATATGTATATAGGTGAGCGACAGAGAGTGAAGGAGAGGTTTTGTTTCTGATTTGTACGTTACTAAATGGATAGATTCCCCTGAATGTAATGAACGAATGGTGTAAGTGTGTTAACAAAAATATATGTATATTACGGAAACGGTTAGAAAAAGATGATGTAATTATATAAACTAAAATGTAAAGATTTCATAACACTGGAATTTGACCTTAAGGGATTTACAACAAGACTTCAATGACACCCAAAATCGGAATATTATAAGAAAGAAACCTTACTGTCACTAGGAATCTCTGTGACCTAATAGACCACCGTCTATGCCCCATTAATTATCCCAACTTCTGCCTCATTAGTGGCTTTACCTTTCTGTTACTTCTTTTAATCAAAATTGAATTCAGAACAGTAGTTAAGCAGGTTGACAAGGCTCCCGCGTACTTAACTACATTGAACTACCTTGAAACTGCTTTTGGCGCAAAACAAGGCTCAGATTAATCAATTCTTCTCATGCTCTAAACAATTGAAATGATGTTCTTTAAATTCAAAGTTTATATAAGTATGGATAAAGTGTGGAAGAAATGAGGATGGAGAACTGAATGATATTTCATTAATTACTACTATCAAACGCGAGGAGCAGCTCAAGAGACCAACCTCAACTGGATTCTCATCTCAAAGGAAGTTCCCAACCAGTTCAGTAGCTCCGGTTGTATCTTCTACCGGATCTAAGGGAATTGTTTTCGCTAAGCCCTTCGATAAAAATATGGATAAAGGCAAATATAAAATAATTGATAAGAAGGATGAGGCTGCAAAGTTCAAAGGAAAGGATTTTGGACAGCAAAAAGAAAAGATTGTAACGTGCTATAAGTGTCATGGACAAGGGCACTATGCAGGTCAATGCCCAATTAAACGAACCGTTATGATTTTGGAGAATGGCGAATGGGGATATGTCGATGATGGTGAGGGCGATGAGGTAGTAGAGGCTGAAGCAGAGGCTGGAAGTGATGATGATGTTAAAGAAGTGTGCGATGAGGATCCATTAAGTTTAGTAGTCATGCGTGCCTTTACCTCTTTACCGTGCGAAGATAAGGGTGCGGGACAGCGAGAAAATCTATTCCATTGTCATTGCAAGGTAGCGGGACATACTATATCCATGATAGTGGATTCGGGTAGTTGCACCAATGTTATTAGTTCCTATGTGGTCGAGAAGCTAAGTTTGAATACCACCCCACACCCGAAACCATATAACCTACATTGGATGAGCGATGAAGGAGCTGTCCGTGTCGATAGACAAGCGATTATTACCTTTTCGATTTGTGGTTTCAGCGATGAAGTCCTTTCTGATGTGTGTCCCATGACTACATGCCACCTCCTTTTGGGACGACCATGGCAATTTGATAGACGTGTTTTGTACGATGGATATAAGAATCAAATATCGTTCACTAAAGGTCGCAAGAAGCTGAGCATTTCCGCCATTCCACTCGAGACTGACCGTCGTGATGCTGAACATTTACATAGGACTATGCGAGATGTGGTAAAATCAAAAGGGGCTGTTGTTACCATTTCAGCGAAACCTTCCGAGAGAGACGATAGCAAGCTGTTGCTTAGTCTCAAAGAGTTCAACAAAGAAGTTTGCCAAAACAGTAACCAAGATGAGAGAAGCTACTTTTATATTCTCTTCCTCAAAGAAGTACTTGTTATTGATGATAATTCTTTTTCTCACTCGTCTCCTCCTTTTGTAGACTTGCTTAAAGAGTTTGAGGATGTTTTTCCGGATGATATACCACCTGGGTTACCACCATTGCGAGGCATCGAACATCGTGTTGATTTTGCACCAGGTTCATCAATCCCCAATAGGCCAGCTTATAGGTGTAATCCAAAAGAAAGTGAGGAAATTCAGAGACAAGTCCAAGAGCTTCTTGATATGGGATGGGTTCGAGAATCTTTATCTCCTTGTGTTGTAGCTGTTTTACTTGTCCCTAAAAATGATAACTCATGGCGTAATGTGTTGATTGCAGGGCCGTCAATGCAATTACTGTGAAATACCGACATCCAATCCTTCGATTGGATGATATACTTGGCGAGTTGCATGGAGCACGGTTGTTTACAAAAATTGACTGAAAGAGTGGGTACCATCAAATTCGTATGCAACCCGGAGATGAGTGGAAAACAACTTTTAAAACTAAGTTTGGGTTGTACGAGTGGCTAGTCATGCCATTCGGGTTGACAAACGCGCCCAGCACTTTCATGCGGTTGATGAACCATGTGTTGAGAAAATTTATTGGAAAGTTTGTGGTGGTATACTTTGATGACATACTTGTCTATAGTACTTGTTTGGAGGACCATCTAGGACATGTTAGACAAGTTTTTCATGCATTAAGAAATGCTAAATTGTATGGTACGTTAAAGAAATGCATATTCTGCACTAATGAAATTATTTTCCTTGGCTTTGTTGTAGGTGCAGATGGTTTTAAGGTTGATGAATCTAAGGTTGCTGCAATTCAGGAATGAAGAAAATGTATAAGTGTGGCCGATGTCCGGAGGTTCCTTGGAATGTGTGGATTCTTTAAGCGATTCGTACCACACTTTAGTGTGATAGCAGCCCCATTGACCTCCCTTTTAAAGAAGAATGTTCCATTTAAGTGAGAGGCAAGTCACGAAGCATCCTTTGAGAAGCTTGGGGATAGTTTGACACATGCTCCGGTTTTGGCACTACCCGATTTTGAACGAGCTTTTGAAGTCCAATGTGATGCTAGCGGAGTTGGTATCGGTGCAGTACTATTACAAGAAGGGCGACCGATTGCTTATTATAGTGAGAAATTCAATGGAGCAGCCCATAATTACTCGACATACGAAAATGAATTATATGCGGTTGTGCAAGCCCTGAGAGTTTGGCAACATTACTTGCTACCAAAAGAGTTCGTAATTCACACAGATCATGAGACCCTCAACCATTTGCGTGGGCAACAGCAACTCAATCAGCATCATGCTCGGTGGGTAAGCTTTATTGAGCAATTTCCATATGTGATTAAGTATAAACAAGGGAAAGAAATTGTAGTTGCTGATGCACTCTCTCAGAGGTATGCTTTACTTAATCATACCCGTACACATTTGCTTGGATTTACACATATTCATGAGTTGTATGAGCATGATGTAGATTTTGCTGATATATTTAGGAAGTGTGATAAGCATGGTTTTGATGATTATTATAAGCATAATGGCTATTTGTTTCATGGTGATAAATTTTGCATTCCTAGATGTAGCATTAGAGATGTTTTGATTGAGGAAAGTTATGGTAGTCATATGCTTGGACATTTTGGTAGACATGCTACATTTGATATTCTTAGCGTTCACTTTTACTGGCCTCATATGCGTAACCATGTTGATTCTTTTGTTGATAAGTGTCTTGCATGTAGAGTGGCGAAGAGTAC